TAAAACATGGGAGAAGGGCGTCCACTGACGAGCTCAAACTGAGAGCATGCTGAGTAACACAAACTGCTTACTGACAGTGAAGTTCAGTTCTTTGATAGTTTTACATACACTGGCTCCATCCATGACCAGGAGTGTGTGTCCAGCTGCCATGCGAGCGTGTGTGTGTAGAGCAGTGTAAGCACAGAGGCCGTCACGTAATGCTCCCACAGCACACACTGAGCTGAGCTTCTCTGGCTTCTGAACTGCAGAACGTAAACAGAAACACAGGCTTACTGAGTCAGTTTATGAGGAAATTATGATGCCTTAATGGCATCATAATTTATAGCTTTGAGAGAGCTGATTTAGTTGTATATAAAATCAGTAATGCCATGTTAATGTTCCTTTCTCCTTATAAATTCTTTTCAAATGGTTTTCCAACCATATAAAAGGACGGCATACTCATTTTCTTTTCTTGTCCATGACTTCAAAATGAATTCTGACAGAAATTACAGGTGAAAGAGATTAGCTTTTTACAGTATTCTGCTTCTTTCACACTGCCATCACCATTTTATTTTAGCTTTGTACTCGACTGTTAAAGTTTCTGAAGTGTAGACAAAAGGTGAACAGGGAGCAGCTACTTCAGAAAAGCTCTTTGTTTGTCAGAATGGAGCAACTGAGAACAGTCTGACTGGTCAGATGAGAGGCCTGGGCTAGCTTATAATGCTAAGGATAAAGTGGAATTTCATAAAATCAAGACATGAATTCAGAAAAATAAGCAAGTTTGATCTGTAGGTCATTTGTAGATATTGGTTGACTGTGCGGTGTGAATTTATGTTTGATAATGGGAGATGCTCATTGCAAGAACAAAGTGCATATTATACAAAGTACATTTTTGAGACTGAGGATGTATAAGTGTGTGTGTGTACAGTATGGTACCTAAATAGTGTTCATCTACATCAATGACATCACAGAGTCCAGAGAAGGGAGAGTCCAGGGGAAGTATACCTGGAAATGGAAGACGGGGGTAAGACATAACATCATATTGTTTTGTCATGTACACTGCTGCTGTCTAATGTGTAGAGGGTATGGGCAGTATGGACACCATTAAAGTGGCGATAAAACGTGCTACGATACAGTTATTCAAAACCACATGGTAAAGGTTACATTTATTTTTATCTAGTTTTACTCAAGTTCTCCTAATTCAAGTAGAATAATCTACTGGATTTAACAGTGTTACAGTTTTTTGGTAAAAAATGAACTTATAATTTAGACAAGAGAGTTTCGAATACACAATAACTGGTGTTGAACATTATAATTACAATAACATTATTAAAATGAATTATCACCCAGCTCCAGGATTGCCAGAATTCTGCATTACTTTAAAAAAAAAAACAACCTGAACCTGCTTCCTCCTATGATCATATACAGCACATGCTCTGCTTTACATTAAAACCACTATCAGCGTCAGAAGACATCTTCCACGCCAAATCAATAAATGTTTCCTACCAACAACCTGGTCTTCAGGATGGAAGGAGGAGACCTTGGGGCCCACTGCAGAAAAACCAGGCAAACACACCAGTTAAACCAGTGCTAACATAGTAAGTACAATTACTGCTGATCACATGTATTGCTTTTGAGCCCATCATGTGACACAAATGAAAAACTGTCTTTGTGAGTTTGACCTTGCATGACGAACCCGGTCACCTCTCTCCCAACAGGAATTAAATCTCTCTGTATCCCCACATCGCTGAGCAACTGGGGAGCAGGACAGAGGAGCAGAGGAGAGGAGCTGTTAGTGGTCCTTTAGCTTAAAACACTGGGTAAGGATGTAACCTTTAAGTTACAGCAGATCACTGACAGTACAGGCTTCATGCTGGATGTATGGGCACAGAAGCATGATTACTGATCAACTATAGACCTTTTCAAATGTATTTTGCATAGTACAAAATGTAATAGGGCACTTAAGGGCTGTATCGGGATCATCTTATTTTTGATTACTTTAAATGACAAAACAAATCCTCCATAAACTACATCTGTTACTGCAATGGTTAACTTGATTGGTTGTGGCTCATTGGGAGTTAATTAGGCTTTTATCCAACATCCTGTACCTATGTAACTGTCTATTGCTAGTTGGACGGCTTTTTAATACTTTTGATGTTTTACTGAACTGAAATGCATGATTTGTGCACGCTTTATCATCTTTTTATACTGCATTATAGACATTGTCTTGTGTACAGAGTGCACATCAAACAGAGGTTTAACAACTCTCATTGGACCAATCTGTATATCAAATGATCCAGTAATTATTTCTACTAAGGTAACAATCATGCACATATACATTTTGACTTGATTCAAGTACCTTGAGGTCCAGAGGGCTGAGTCCGCACGCCTTTACCTGAATTCTGACCTGATGGGTGCCTATAACATCTGGAAGACTCTGGAGAGGAACAAACATACACTAACTATTAAAAAAAGATGGCGACATAGAGAAATTGTACTTTAAACAAATATACATTGTATCCAGACGGAGTGGGGGTGGTATGTAATTTAGCACATTTGCTACCTACTACTGGGCAGTGATGTCTGCAAACGGAGCAATAGTTTCACACAGACAGATTAAACTTGCACAGTTTCATTTGCTTCCTTCCAGAACGGGTGCTTTGATGTGTGATGCCATGAAACACGGCATATAAAGATCTCCTCCTTATAGCCAGAAATTCACCTGCAGAGCGAGAGCCGGAAAATGAAAACACAAACTCACCGCCTCCTGAATAACGAACTTGGGCTCAGCATCACTCAAACCAGCTCGGCAGTATAAACCTTTCATTCTGTCACAGCTTTAATTTAAGCGCAGAGACCTTATTTATTCTCTTCTATTATATTTTCTAGGTGCCGCTAAATTGTGTATTTTATGTCAGCTGACTATTATTTCTTCTTCTTCTGCTTATCTTCTTCTTCGTTTACATTTTTTTCTGTTGGTATTACAATACCACCATCTACTGGATGCGATGGAAAAGTACCATAGTCGTCCTAATGATAACTGCCGTGTCAAGTATTAGTATTTATCAATCATTTGTAGCACAAACAGATGGTATGGCATATCCACTGTGCTCCAGTATTTGTCTATTTTGGCTATTGCAAGTGCAGTCATGAGTTTTGTTGGTGGCTGTTTTTATTTTATTTTCTGTGATTTGACAGTAATTTATATTTGTGAAACTTACATATATTCACTCCGCATTCATATTTTTATTGTGTGACTTAATCAGGGCAGTTGTAAAATGTTTTCAAATAAAAAACCCGAAAATTTAGACCCTTGAATGGATTTTATAAAACAAGATTCTAAACAACATGTCCTGATCATCTAAGCTACGTGGTCTTATTCAGTGCTTTACGCTGTTTAACGTTAACCTATTTGATTTGTTTATCAAGTGTCTTGCCTTGAGAACTTTTAGACTCCATATGAAATTGTATTTTTCTCTTTTTTTCTGGGAGCAAACATCATATAGTGGATAAAACTCTTGTGGATTTATTGCATTCGGGTTACATCCTCGATCACTTTATTCTTGTTTACATATGTGTTACTATCGGTATATTTCCATAAAACGTGTTTTTTAACTAATAGTACCCGGCAGAAGCGCTACTAAACCCTTTATTCAGGCAAGCCAAAGCATTAAATTCACGCGAGATTGCATGTCAATATTTGTATAGCTAATGTCACGTCTCGCGATATGTTAGTGGCGTTACCCCATTTTCCAGCTGTCCCTCACTTAGTCAGGATTTCGGAGCCACGGTAGAATTGCTGGGAAGGGTTTTGGTGATAAAACAGCATCTTCTGGGAGATAATATCGCATTGTGTGGTTACATAAACACGCAACGAGCTACTTTATCCAGTATTTCATGATGGAAACAGAACTATGAGGTAAGGACAGAGCGTAGTATGTGTGATGTGAAAGAATGTCCCTGAGCGGGTTGACGTTAGCTTCACACTGGTTAGCCTGCTTGCTAGCTGCATTGATACATGTAAGTGCGGCTAGTTGGTCATTTTTGGCCGGTATAGCGTGCTATTATCAGCGTATAACTGTAATATCAGCATATCTATATCGGTCTGATATTGGTCAGTGTAACAAGATCTGACCGACGAGACATTATAAAACGTTACAATCCAGCTACTAGTAACAGGTAACGTTAGCCAGTAACGTTACGCTAATGCAAAATCGCTGCATCTGTGCTGCTTGTCTGTGACCTAACGTTAACCTAGACTTTTCTGTGGTTAATCTTAGCTTTTCCTGTATGTGAGAATAAGGTGATGAATCGACAAGGTTGGTGAAAATGCTTTAGCAGATAGCGACTAGCAGGGTGGAGGTTACTCAGTTAGCCTACGTTTGCTAACATTAAACCTGATGTTATTCGGTAACAGTCAGTGTCCATCTAGCTACCGTCTACTACACCTGTACAGTTAAAACAGCCCCTCTGACTACCCCATTATGTGTCTGAAACATGCCTGTGGTTGCTGAGCGAAGCATCCTATCATATGCGAGTCCAAGGAAATGATACAGGAAGTGAGAATGAATTGTGAAACAGACGTTTTCTGTGATGTAAAGTCTTAGCAAGCTCCATGAGTGAGAAGCGGTTTCCATGGTAACCCGGTTACTGACAGGTGCACTTAAAGGTGGGAGTAGGATTGCAGATATTTGATTACCAAGTTGATCAAAATGCTCAATAATGCTTTACTGAAGCACCAATATTGATTCCTATGAATGCGTTTAATACTGAAAACCCCAGGGAATTTGTACAGAGAATGCTACAGACAAGTGGCATGTTAAAGGAAACACCTCAATACATGAGTCAGTAAACAAAAAATACAGATGCTGGCGTGGCATGGGTCTTCAACCCATTTGAAGATTTTGGAGCAATGCATTAGACAGCGCTCTCCACCACCACCATCAAAACATGAGGGAATATTTTCTGGAACAGTGTTGTTCATCCTTCCAGTAGAGTTTCAGACATGTAGAAGCATTGCCAAGGTGCAGTGAAGCTGTTTTGGTCGCATGTGGTGGTGGCCAACACCTTACCAAAACACTTAATTTTATTTGTAATATGAGCAAGAGAATGACTTCATAACCCTGACATGTCCTCGTGCTCTTCTTCAGGTGAGCTTGATACATCCCAGGCATTTTCTTGCTCTCAGTTATTATGTTGATACTGTTAATGTTAGCTAGCTGTGGAGGCCAGGCAGCTTGTTGGTATGGAGGGATGACAGGAGGGAGCCCAAGAGAAGGATGGAGTGTTGCAGGAGGAGCTGATGTAGAGTGCACTGTAATTCTGTGTATTTTTGCTGGGTAGGGATTTTGTTACCTCTCAGGTCTCACCATTTGACAGCAATGTGATAATAATGTCATAGTGTGTGCTGGAGAGAGAGAGAGAGAGAGAGAGAGAGAGTTGTAGAGCGTTGTAGAGCTTAGGGTCAGTATCAGAGGGTGTGTTGCAACGAGGTGTGTCTTCAGTGTGTGATTGAGAAAGCAGGACACCCTGAAGTTATGTGTGTGTATTTTATAGATGTGTATTGAATGTAGACCAAGGTAACTTCCTCTTAATGTCTTGCTTTGTCTCACCAGCAGTGCAAATCCTGAAGATATTCAGTTTGTATTGTCAGAGAAAGACAATGTTTGACATTTGCATTTTATGCCTTTTCTTAAAAAAGCCTCTCTTTTCTTAATCAAATTATGAATTGACTAATTGTTTTTGCCATAATAAAAGGCATGTAATCCAAATAATCATTGGTCATTTACTTTAAAGAAAGATAAGAATAATGAAGAACATCCATCATTGTTTACCACAATCAATAACTTTTATTCTTCAGTGATACTAAAACCAGGAAAATCTTTAATTTTCAGTCAGTCAACTAATTGATTCGTCACTGAATCATTGTTTCTGCTCTGTTTCAAACTAGACCAATAGGGGATGAGCTGCCTCCTGGTTGAGGGTTTTACTCAGCACAGTGAACTGAATGAACTGTTTTTGATGTATCAGGAAAAATGAGAGAAGAGAGTCTGAACCCTAATTTGTACCAAGTTCTGAAGCTGGCTGCTTAAACAAGCATCTGTCACCAGCCTTGATAACAGACTGACACCCCAGTTACATCCCAATGCTGTAATTATACAGTAGACTAATCCCATAATCCATGTACACAGGCAGAGCAAAGTATTAAACCCCAGCCACTCGCTGATGACAAAGGAAATAGGAAATGCTGCAACAAAGAACCAAAGAACTTTCAGTTTATTTTGTCTATCAATAGTTTTGGCAGCCAGTTAGTTTTTCATTGAAGTTTAACTTAAGGTTGGAGCTGGATTTACCCACTGTGAGTTCCTACAGCTCCACTGAAGCAAGATTAGTCTCTGATAAATGCAAAAGATGTGACCCCTTTAATTCAGCTTGTAACATGAATTCAAAACATCTTTTTATGCTAAAAGTTTTCCCTGGCTGATTTGTTTCTGTAGTTCAGAACTAACATGGTTGACTAGCAGTTTGGCAGAAGTCTTCTGTAGTCGCATAACTGCTTTAGTAGTCTCTCAGGGCAGCTATGAAAGTGTGTGTCTGTGTGTATTTGTACAGGGTGGGCTTTGTTTCCCTGACCTAGATAAGATGGTTACTTTGTCTTCCCACTCTTTTGATAATGGGACAGACACACACGCACACAGTCAACAGGACTAGTGAAGAAAAAAGTCCACAACAATGTCCGAGTAGGTGTTTCTGGAAGGAAACACTGCAGTTGAGTTTTTTGATGGTTTGTCGACTATGGGTTAAATTCCATCTACTTCCATTATATTGTGGCGGTGGCAGAAGTCTCAGAAGTGGAACTCTTGGTGCATCATCAAATAAAACTGATATTGCAGGGGCAGAATGGGACAATTTCTCTGTGTGATTTGGGTGAACTGACCCTGTAACCGAGGTTCTCCTCATCCCTTAGTAAGCAACACATATTTGTGTTTACATCATACAGGAAGAAGCCAGTGACCCACACTTGCACCCAGACACCTCGACTAAGTCCATGTCTGTTGCAATGTGGGTTGTCTGTAGGCCACAGGGATACAGGGGAGGGAGGCAGGTTTGGATCTGATTAACATACCTCCACTAGGGCAGAGTTATGTCTCACACACACACCAGGGCTCCAGACTGCGAGTGATCAGTCACATTTTGTGACCAAATTTATTTAAGGTGTGACTGACTTTTTTCAAAGGTCGCACTGGGTGCAGCTGCAAAATAAACATCTTATGCACAAACGACTGGTCTCACAGTGGTGGACAGAGAAGAAGAAGAAGCTTTTATTTTATTGTCATTTTAACATTGTGACACGTACAACAAAATTTTGTTTGGAGCCGAGGGCCCTGGGCTGCTGTGTGCATATGCGCTGCCATCACGGGCAACTCGGGGAGTTCAGTGTCTTGCCCAAGGACAATTCGACATGTGGACTGCTCTACCCACTGCGCCACTGTCGCCCCGCCCCGACTGCCAATCTTTCAAATGTGTTGATCCACACTAACTCTGAGACACACGCGTCATCCCTGAACCCCATTTTTATGCTTCCAGTTAACTTTTTCCTTTTGTACATCTAAAGTGTAATCACTACAGACAGCTGTTTAAATCAGGTAGATCACCTGTTAGTTTGTTTATGTGTTGGAAACCTTTTACTTGAATCATTTTTGATGGATCAGGCTCCTAGTGCTGTGAGCTTTCTGGTTTTACTTTCTCCCAGTCAGAGAAGGGGACATTAATAAAATAAATAAATCAGAACATCAACGCTGCTGATTCCTTGCTGATGAGCCTACTTGAAAACTAGTTTTGTCCTTCTGCTGTCAGTCAGCCTGGTGAAGACTGTGCTGTTTTTCCGCTGACGGCTGCTCTGACGAGAGAGGCTGCACAGAGGTCAGAGTCGGTGTGGACGGAATGGATCAAACACTTAA